GGATTCCTTTTCTGCTTGTTCAGTTTGTTTTTGTTGCATGGCTGAGTTTTCGGTCCTCGGATCGATCGGTTCGTCCAATTCTTTTCCACTTCTTAGTATCACAGCATTTGCTTGGCCTTTTGGATTCTGTTCGGGTTGTCCAGGAAATGTGCCAGCAGGTGCGGCAACAGAGGCTTGTTGTTGAGCCACTTGTGATATCTGTGTTTCTAACATTTTGTTGTGGGTGGCTAAAGCGTCTACTTTTCCTGTCAACTGTTTAATTTGCTCGCTAGTGTGTATGTTTTGATTCAGGAGTTCTTTGTTTGTTTGAGCTTGAGTTGCTATGAACCTTTCCATCATCAATTCGAGGTTCGATTTCCTAGGTGCATTCTGAGCAACTGGTTTTTGATATCCTTGCGGAGCAGTAGGCATTTGCAATGCATTTTCGCTTTTGTAAGAAAAGTTTGGATGATTTCGCCAACCTGGGTTGTAGGTATTTGCGTAGGGATTTCCTTGAGCATAATTTACCTGGTCTGGTGGGATTCCGGCTAGCAATGGGCATTCGGGTGCATTATGAGTGGTGCTTCCGCATAACTCGCAATTTGGAGTTACTGCAGCGACAGTTGCAGTGGGGTTAACGGTCAGACTATCGATTTTCTGTGCTAGAGCATCTACTTTAGCGTTGAACTTTTCAAGGCTGCTGATTTCGTACATCCCACCTTTCGCTGTGGTTTTCTCAGTTGGAGTGCGTTCACCTCCCCATTGGCAATGGTTTTGTGACATGTTTTCTATCAATTGATAGGCTTCATCGTATGGCTTATCCATAAGTGCACCGCCCGCGGCAGCGTCTATTGTCAATCTAGTATTGTATAGAAGCCCATTATAGAAAGTATGGATTGTCACCCAGTCTTCTAGACCATGGTGAGGACATGTTCTCATCATATCTTTGAATTGTTCCCATGCTTCGTAAAGAGATTCAGTATCTTTCTGTCAAAATCCGTTGATTTGAGCTCTAAGCATAGCAGTTTTGCTTGGCGGGAAATATCTCGCTAAGAAGACGTTCTTCAATTGCTCCCACGTCGTAACGGAGTTGGATGGTAACGATTGTAACCATGTCCATGCTCTGTCTCTAAGAGAGAATGGGAAAAGACGAAGTCTTATCGCGTCTGGAGTTACTCCATTTGCTTTCACTGTGTCCGCGTATTGTACAAACTTTGTTAGATGTTCGTTCGGATCCTTAGTTGCGTTTCCTGAGAATTGGTTTTGTTGTACAGCCGACAACAATGATGGTTTCAGCTCAAAATCGTTTCGGGTAATAGTTGGGGCAGCAATGCTACTTCTAGGCTCCATCTGAGATGGTGTAGCGTATGCCTTCAGCGGTTTGTTTGGAGGTCCTTCAGCCATCTCTGGTTCTTCTTCTTCTGATTTGGGAATGGGAGTGAGAGGTTCGGGAGTGTTATGTTTGAGTTGTTTGAGTTGGTACTCAATGATTCTACTTCTTAAATGTAAGAAGCGTTCTAGTTCTGCGACTGAAGGTTTTACGATATCGCTTTGCGGGCGATTTCTTGGCATACAATCGACAGAACTAGTAAAGGGAAAATGAAAATTGTTAACCTAGTCTATACGGTGTAACAGAAGGTTACACTATTGACTAAACGGGTCACCGGCAACGGCGCCAAAAACTTGATCGCGACTTTCTATGTCTAATACAACCTAACTGCAAGTGCACAGTCTATCGCGTAGTAATAATAGATATCGATCCCACAGGGACTCGTAGTCAAACTAGTGTTCTCGGGAGTTACTATGTTTAGCTAGGTAGAATATGTTTAAGGGAATAAGATTGTCACTAAAAGGGAACTAAGAATACTATTTAGATTATAATTGATTGAATCGATACATAGTAATTGTGTTCTTCAGGGATTTGATAAGTTACTGGTGTATGAAATAATTTTCAAAGTTTATTTAAGCAGAAAATGGAGATTTGAAGACTCGCCTCACGATGGTTATTGACGCTAATCATAATCCTAAGGGCCAAACGTACACTTTCGTATCTCGTTCGGGGTTAAAATTATTTTTTTGAAAATCTCTAAGTTCTAATTCATTTTAAAGTGCTTTCGCTGTTATTAAAACAAATGCCTAGTGTTTACTATCTGACCTTACCGCAGCTTTCGCTTGTTGGTTCGTATCTTAATTAATTTCCCACTTTCGTGGCAAAACTACTTTTAAATAAGTTCTCGCTTTCGCGACGAAGTTTATTCAGTGAATCAATTTTAAACACTCAGACCATAGATTACTTTTGTGAAAAGAAAGTTTTTCAACCAGTTGTTATCAAATCCCATTCGAATTATCACTACATATCGATTGCCTAAGTTTAGCTAGACATGGATTTGGGAAAGATAAAATATAAATAAAAACAATAAATAATGATTTGCATTATAATAATAATTGAAATCGATCAAAATGAAAACCTGTAAATATTCCAATTGGCCTTTGGGCAGATCCTCCATAGATGTTGGCAGGATTCTGGCCTTTAATGCCAAAGTGGTCGTACAATAAAATAGAAATTTTGGAAGAATGGAAAAAGCAATACAGGAAAGGTAAAGAGAAACAAATAAGAATAAAACTGGAAAATAATGCTCTCGAAAGTAAATTCGGCAGCACTTCATGGTATGAATGCCGCACACTTTCTAAAGTCCCCTGCTTCCCTTTTTATAGAAGTGAAATCCCAACGGTTATCTCTGAAGATGATGGACCTTGAGGCAGATAATTTAGGGAGTAGTGGTCCACTCTGTGGGAATTGGAACTGATTCTTTGACGTGTAATATGAGTGGGGCGTTTTTGCCTGCATGACGGTCGTCACAAGGTGTGACGGTCATCACCCGTGTGACGGTCGTCATGGATCTGTGACGGTCGTCACATCAGCAAAAACAGCTTGCTGCGCTTTTCATTGTGTTTTCACTCCTTTTTCGTCCATATTTCATCTGAGATTGCTTATTTTCTTCATGTTGCCTTGTTTAGACGTGATCGTTGAATACCTGTAAAACATCAGACAAATACACGGAAATAACCCGAAATCGGATCGAAAACGGTTAGACTTTAGTTGAATTATGCATGAAAATATCTATATGATTTCGTGTTATCATTTAACTCAGGGGGAGTTATAATTCTAATATGTTCAGTTAAACAAAATTTCTGATACTTTTTGTCAACATCAAAAAGGGGGAGATTGTTAGAACACATATTGATTCTTAATAATATCTCTTTGTTTTGATGATAACTGTTAGGAAATTTTGTATTTAAGAATTATACACTCTAAAATTTACTTAAGAGTTTTACTGCAGATTGAAATGATATTAACACTCCAGAAGCAAATCTGATTTGTATACAAGAAGTTATCTAGACTCTGAAGCGCCAAATGCACTCATTAAAATATTCTGATTGCTGATTACAGAAGATCCTGAGCGTAGTCTCCAGAAGGATCTGAAGCAAGAAGCTCTAGAAGAATCTGAAGCAAGCAGATGCATCTGAAGCTAAGAAGAATATTGTATGAAGAGTTTCTCAAAGCATAGTTTCTACAGAAGTTTCTGAAAGTACTAAAGCTGCCAAGTACTGAAGTTCTGTGTCAAATATGCTCTGATGATCAACACGCTGAAAGCACACATGTTGAAGAAGACTCTGATACAACATAGTTCTGAACATCATTAGAAGACTCTGACTCAATCAGATTCTGATGAACTTGCTAAAAACTAAAGAAGGAATATTCAAAGAATATATCCGTTGGAGTAAATCAAACGTCTCTTTCCTCATTGGTGCTAGACACAAGAACATAAACAAAAAGGATTTTTCTGTGCTTTCTACTTCTAGGAAAGGTCACTTGATGTGAAGACAAAAAGGCTCAGACCTTTTTGGGACTCTCTTCTCAACGTTCAGCTTCCTTGGATCAGCTGCCTATAAAAGGAAGACTCCACCAAATTCTTCAATTAGACATTTTGCTGAAAAGAAATCATAACATTCAAAGCTCTCATTCTTTCATATTCTTCTTAGAATTATTTGTACTTAAACTTAAGAGAAATATCACTGTTGTGATAAAAGCTTTTTAGAAGCATTCATACTCTTGTATTTGATTTACATTGATTGTAAAGGTTTTTCCTTAAGAGGATTCAGTTGGAATCAGTAGCTCTTGAGAAGACTAAGAACAGTTGTTCTTAGGTGTTACTATTGTAATCTGTTTGATTAAATATTGGATTAAGTCCTTGTTGAGAAAGGCAAATCACTTTAGAAAGGGTGGACTGGAGTAGTTGAGTTCAACGAACCATGATAAAAATAATTGTGTTTTTATTTCTAAAGTTTAATCTTTCATACTTATTCAACCCCCCCCCCCTCTAAGTATTATCTCACCTTCAGCCACATCATTAAAAAAATATTTCAAATTGGAGAGGAGACTAAAATCAAACTCAAAACTTAAAAAAAGGACCAAATTGGAGAGATTAAAACCCAAAAAAAATACAAAATAAAAGGATTTGCAATTAAACATTTTAAAATTACTCAATTTCACTTTGTTTATAAATTAAAAACCAAGACCAAATCAAAAACTCTATCTCAACAAAATTAATAAAGAATAAATTGAAAAGCGAATCTTAATTCTTCATCAAATTCGGCACACTCCTATTTTAATCCTCTGAGATAGTGTCACATCATTAAAAAAAATATTTTAAATTGGAGAGGGAAATAAAATCAAACTCAAAACTTAAAAAAAAGACCAAAATGAAAAGATTAAAACCCAAAAAATACAAAATAAAAGAATCATAGTTGCAATTAAATATTTTAAAATTAAAACAAAAACCGACTCAATTTCACTTTGTTTATAAATTAAAAACCAAGACCAAATCAAAAACCCTATCTCAAAAAAAATTAATAAATAATAAATTGAAAAGCGAATCTTAATTCATCATCAAATTCGGCACATTCCTATTTTAACCCTCTTTCTTTCATTCGCTAGAGTTTTAGGGTTTGTGCTTGTAATGGCAATGGCAGCCCCAGGGCAACTGAACGTCATTGAATCTCCTTCGCGGGGATCCCGAAGCGTTGATTGCTTTGAAAAATTGGAGCAAATTGGTGAAGGAACTTATGGGTCAGTTTTTTTCTTCCACTTCTAGATTCATACTCCCTATAGCTTATTATTATTACTTCAATTACCAATTTGTTGATTTGTGATGTGGTTTCCTTTGGAATTATGTGATTTGATTCAATTCACTTTTAAGGAGAGAAGCTTATGTATTATGTATTCAATTGACATGTTTATGCATATGCAGTCAGGTTTACATGGCTCGAGAGATTGAAACCGGTGAAATTGTTGCTCTGAAGAAAATACGAATGGACAATGAGAGAGAAGGGGTATATCTTTGATCACCCTGCACAATCTTATTATTAGTTTGCTACTGTTAGAATATCATATATCTTTTATATTATCCTAGGACTAGATTTTATATTAGTTATTACTTATTAATATTATTATTAGTTTTTTAAAATTATTATTGTGATTTTTTATTTTTTTTATTTAGTGTTGAGTCCATGTATCATATTGAGTTTTTGTATAAGTTAGTATTAAGCCATTATCAGTAATAATCAAAGGTAATATTTTTTTTTCTTTCTTATCTTTAAATTCTCACAACTTCATCATGGTATTAGAGTCAAGTTAGATCCAGTTAGATCCATCCTGATATGTCTCGCGACTATTCCGCCGCCGAGTTCTCAAAAGGTAGCAAATATAATAATAGTTTCCTGTTCTTTTTTCATGTGTTTCCATCACTAGAGTTCCCAAAAGTTTTGGAATACAATAACAGTTTCCTATTTTCTGACGTGTTTCCATTCCCTGCTGCTGTCCTGTGTTTTTCCGTTATAACCGCTTACGTTGTAGGTAGAATTTTCCGTTTTAAGCAATCCCAAAATTTTAAATCCGTGCGTTGTCATCAACAATGGTGTGCGAGGGTGTGTTTGGCATTGTTCCGTTGTGATTTCCTGGTGCCTGAGTCAGAATTATGTCCTGGTTCTCCGTGCCTTTGCCCCATTCAACTTGTTTACCCATTCCTTGCTGTTAAATTGCTGTTTTGGTCTGTGCTTATTTTTTAGTTTAGTTGGTCCTGTGTGTTGTTGCTTGTTATTTGAACAAGCTCCTTGTTTTGGTGTTTGGCCTCTAAACTTTCTTTTTGTCTACACTATATGTTTCCTTTTCTTGAACATTGTGAAAGTGGTGCTCCTGTTAAGTTGTTGATATTCTTGAGACAATCACAAGATGTTACTGATTTTATTGATAAAATGAAAAACTAGCTCACCAAATATCTTGTTCAGACATTCATTTGGAGGACTTATTATTGAGTATTAAAGGTGGCTGCACTGCACCTCTGCCAATTTCTATGAACAGCTTTATGTGTCTTGATTTTTCTACTGCCCTCTATTTGTTTTTTTTGTCTGGCTTGCCGTCTTCTGTTTTGCTCGGTGTTGATTGTTTACTTGAGTTGTTTCTGCATTTGCCACAGTTTGTTAGTTCTGAAATTGGGGTAGTTGCTTCTGCTTAATGGTTATTTTTTGTCTGTTTTGGCATTTGTTTATTCTCAAATTGGGGTTTTTGATTCTTTGGAGCAAGTTGTGACATCGCTAGAAGAAGATTGAAGTTTGAAGATTTCTCTAAATCATGTTCATTAGGTTGTCATGTTTTCTCTTTTAAAGGGTATATTTGTAACAAGTTTAAACTTTAGTAAGCTTTAGTTTCAGGGGGAAGTGTGAGAATATTATAGGATATTTTATATTACTTCAGAGGATCTCTTAGGATTACATTTTACATTTTATTATTATTAATTATTCTTGATTTAGGATTGAGTCTATACCTACAAATAGGGATTAGTATTGAATTTTTTGTATCAAGCTTGTACTTGTCCATTATGAATAAATACTATTCAAAGGTCTGTTTGGACACCGGCTATCAGGTCAACTTAGGTTACACTCTAGAGATCCTGTCTTGAGTGAGTATATGTGTGAAGAGTTCCACATTGCATAAGATAATACCTGAAAATGTGTATATAAGTGGAGAGTCCTCACCATGGTAGTAAAAAATGCGATCTGGAACGTAGAATTGCATGCTTCCATGATCTTCCAGGTCTTCATCGAGTTCGTTCCTAAGCTGAATTGGAAACTGGTAAGCATGGTCGGGATTGCCGTGATAAATCATAAATTCACGAGATCCTTCACGTTTTATGACCCTTTATAAGCATACGAAAGAAACCGGGGTTTACGGGCCAAATCCGTGACCTCATTGCTCTAAACTAGATTTTTGTTGTAAAAACCCGTAAATTCTTATATGATATCCCAGACCCCTTCTCTCTCATCTACACACTCTATCTATAACACTCCTTTGTGCAAAACTGCTTTGCTCTCATGCATCTCACTCATCTGCACTTTTTTTTGTTTTGTTTTGAAAAGGCTGGATCTAGGGACCAAACAAGTGGTGGGGAAATAAGTCTTAATTTACAGTAACACTCTGTTATAGGTTCTATAATGAGTTTCCCCTCAATTGTTCTGTAAATTATGTCATTTCAGTTTCCAATAACTGCTATACGGGAAATCAAAATTCTAAAGAAACTACATCATGAAAATGTAATCAAATTGAAGGAAATCGTCACATCTCCAGGTACTTTATTCTAAATTGATCTTAATGTTTTTTTTTTCTTTCTAATTTTTATTCAAAACAATGTAGGCTTGAAAAAGATTTCTTTATTGACTTAACATTTTTGCTCTCTGATACAGGTCCTGAGAAAGATGATCAAGGGAGGCCAGGCAAGTTATTCTTTTTCGTGATATTTATCAACTGCTTTATTTACAGTAGCATGTGATATGCTCTATGTTTTTACTGTTTTCCTGCCTCATTTTTTTTCACTTTTGTGTTGGGATTGCACAGATGGCAACAAATACAAAGGTGGCATATATATGGTCTTTGAATATATGGACCACGATTTAACAGGTCTTGCAGACCGACCTGGCATGAGGTTTACTGTCCCCCAGATCAAGGTAGGACAGTTGAAATGTAAATTCACATACTAATAGTTAATATTTTATTGATGATTGAGTGGTTTTTTTTTCCTTCCAAAGTGTTACATGAGGCAGCTCTTGACAGGACTTCATTATTGTCATGTCAATCAAGTGCTTCACCGTGATATCAAAGGTTCTCTTTTGTGAATTTCTTCCAAAGTGCTGCATGTCCAAGATTTTGATTTTAGATCTTACCAAATCTATTATTTGCATGTGATATATTTTGTTTCTCCGCAGGATCAAATCTTCTCATAGATAATGAAGGTAATCTGAAACTGGCAGATTTTGGATTGGCACGGTCATTTTCGAATGAGCATAATGCAAACCTTACAAATCGAGTCATCACTTTATGGTACAGGTAATTGATCTTGATTTTATTGCTTCACTAGTGTTGAGTTTTAACTTTGGCTTGCCTAAGTTTATTTCATCATATATTTAGACCCCCCGAGTTACTATTGGGGACTACAAGGTATGGGCCAGCTGTAGACATGTGGTCCGTTGGGTGCATTTTTGCCGAGCTTCTTCACGGGAAGCCCATCTTTCCTGGAAAAGACGAGGTTAGCGATACTTTATATAAGTGTTCAATGATTTTTTTGAGAAATTTTATTGGCCAGGTTTGGTTTAATCCGTTGTATTTTCAGAACTCCCTTCAGCTATGCATTATTGCATGAGGAAAAGATTTTTAATATCACTTACTCAGCCATTCTGTCTTTATCTTAGTGGCTTTATAGTTATGGTGTCAATCCGAATAATGGTTTCTGTATGGAAATGTTTGTTTTATTAGGTGGATCAATGATGTATGTACACACTATATACTTAACACGTTAAGTGATGTGTACATATCTGACAGGGCTAGATATTTGTTAATAACAATGTCTTGGATGATTGCTTGATAGATCTAACCTATTTTTGTTGTATTTGCTTTTACAATGCAAGGCTTACAGTGTATGCTTATGGTAGTTGTCTTTAATACATCTTGAGGGTTGTGCATGTTTTCTTTGTTACTATTGTAGCCCGAGCAATTAAATAAGATTTTTGAGCTTTGTGGAGCGCCTGATGAGGTGAACTGGCCAGGAGTTCAAAAGACTCCTTGGTACAATCAGTTTAAGCCGACAAGACCGATGAAAAGGCGTCTGAGGGATGTTTTCAGACAGTAAGTATCAGAATGCAAACATCATTATTCATATATGCATTTTTATAGACAAAAGCATTAAATGTATTCTCTTTCATTATCTTTAACTGATTGTATCTGAATGGCTTTTGTCCGTGACTTAAATTCAAGCTTTGATCGTCATGCATTGGAGTTGTTGGAGAAGATGCTGACACTTGATCCAGCTCAGGTATATCACTTCATCAGTTGTGGGTCCAATCTATTAATTGCTAAATAAATGTATAATTGTTACTTTACATGGTACGGGTACATGCTATTACAATTTATCATGCATTATTCATTCTCTTTTAATTTGATCGTGTTTATTGGTAGTTTGTCTACCATTATTCTCTAGTAATACCACACATCTTACTTGTTCATGATTTGCTTTTTGAGCTTATGATATAATGCTATAAACTAGTTTTGGTCGAGTGACTCTTTAATGTGATCCATGTACCCGACCCCACTTAGTGTATTAAGGCTTGGTTGTTGTTTTGACTCTTTAATGTGATCAAAATTTGATAAAAAGTTGATGACATAATGTTGGTGACACAGAATTGGGTTGTGTTGTTTTGAAGTGTAGGCCAATGACATTATTATTCAGCATGCATTTACGATGAAATAGTTAACTTCTTGATCTGCATCATATAATTTGTTTTTCATTTTGATTTATTAATAGAGAATTCCTGCGAAGGACGCACTTGATGCTGAGTACTTCTGGACTGATCCTTTACCATGTGATCCGAAGAGGTAAGGACCTTCCATGCACTTGACCCTTTCATTTTCAAAATAAAATATTTACTTTGTGATCTTCATGATATAAGTGGCCATTATTTAATTCATCTAAAATTTATTGTTTCCATCAAGTAATCATTTTCTACGCATTTTAACTCATCACTACTCGTGTTTTTCTTAGTTTACCCAAATATGAGTCCTCGCATGAGTTTCAGACCAAGAAAAAGCGTCAGCAACAACGGCAAAATGAAGAAAATGCCAAGCGTCTTAAAATGCAGCACCCACAGCAGCATACCCGTCTTCCCCCGATTCAGCAAGGTGGACAACATGCCCAGATGCGGCAAGGTCCTTCCCACTCTATTCATGGTTCTCAACCAGCAGTTGCTGCCGGACCTAGTCATCATTATGGTAAGCCTCGAGGTCCCTCTGGTGGTCCAGGAAGATACCCTCCTGGTGGAAACCCTAGTGGGGGATACAATCATCCAAATCGTGGAGGTCAAACTGGGGGTGCTGGTTATGGCAGTGGACCATATCCTCCTCAAGGGCGAGGGGCACCTTATGGGTCTAGCGGTATGCCTGCAGGACCCGGTGGTCCTCGTGGTGGAGGTGGAAGTGGCTATGGAGTTGGAGCTCCAAATTATCCTCAAGGTGGTCCTCCATATGGTGGATCGGCTGCTGGTCGTGGGTCAAACATGGGTGGGAATCGCAATCAACAGTATGGTTGGCAGCAGTGAAACATTCTATTCTCACAATGATTATTTATATTGTTGTCATTTGGTGATGCTCTGTGAGATGTAGATTGAGAGTATTTGAGAAAAACATATTTCCTATAGATTTTAGATTGTTATATAATAATATTATGATGTTAATTACTTGATCTGCCAAGAAGCCTTTGTGAAGCTCGTACAATAATTGTTCCTGAAGATAAGAGACTACGAAAAGGAAGGGAACTTCTTGATGTTGTTGTAGCTGTTTATTATAATATTTTATTTTGCGCTTTAGATCTGCACAGCCTGTTTGAATGAAAACAATTTACTTCAACACGATACGTTACAAGCTGATGTTCAAGTTAATTGTTTATGGAATACACCTATTTTTACTGAATTTTTACTTAACATTTGAAGACTGCAATACATTGTAACTAGCTAATTCAATTGTAATTTAAAGATAAAGAACATCGACTTAGTTTTAATAGGGAAAGAGGACCTTTGTCTCTGCATTGCATGAGGAAATCCATAAGAATTTGGGCCAAGGTGTTCTCTATATCTTATAATAAATTGAGACAGATGATATTAGTGAAAATACACTCCATTCTCTTTTATAAGTAGAATTTGACTGGTTAGATTCATTCTATAAATGATGTATTTAAAACTATATATAAGTTAGATATATTAATTATTCAATGAATTTAAATTGTTAAAATTTTCTTATAAATAAGAATGGAGGGAGTAAATGTTTTTAAAATAATTTCTAAAAGTAGAGAGGGCTCTCAGCTTTTTCGGGGTCTTTAAAAAACTTTCGAAATTATAAGATCTCACGAAATTTGATAGTCTTAATCTCCCTATCCTTACAAATTATAAAATATTTTCATTTTGTTCTTTTAACAATTTATTATTTCATTTTTATTATTTTACTCAAGTTTTTTGAATTTGAATTTTACACTCCCAAATATGTTTATGGGAATAGTCCGAGATAAGTCATTTGACATGTTTTTATTTATCAGAGAATTTGTTATGTTCTTCGATGTCTATTTTTTCCTGTTTGTAATATCTTTGATGTTATTTTCTCTGTTTGTAACCTCTGTTGGATAAATTGATCTAATGTTATCTGGTGACTTCTATTTGTGTTCCAAATTACTTACTACTAAGTAATCCTGGTAGTTTTTTTTTAAATCTTTTTAATTTTTTTTATGTTGCACAAATGTGGAATTTCTTTTACAGATATATGATACACAAAATTTGAATACACGAGAAGAGGTGATAAGGTGGATTAAGGAAGTCGAAATCAGAAATAAAGTAACTGTTATCATCACTCGCTCATATATTGAAATAAACAAGAGAGGGAGAAGCAACAAAGTAATATTTGTGATATGATCGGTCGATCAAAATAAGTGAGTGGTCAGCAACACGCCCGCGGTCTTAAACGGTCTATGGAGAAGGGGTGTACCTGTGGGCACTCCGATGCTTAAGTCAGTTCGGGAGAAGAGGTCAGTAAGAAAGGGTAAAGAAGAGAATACACGTCCCTCCTGCAGAGAATGGTTTTTATAGTGAGCCCCCAACACTTGGCTAACGGTCTCCGTTGTGGACTGAGTGTTCAGGTCTACAACGGATGACTGTCAGGACTTCCACGTGAAAGTAGGAATGAGCAGCTCGTGCCCATTGTCTTGGGTTAACTGCTCCGCATTCTCCGGATAGTAGATAAACTTGCTCGTTACAAAGGGCATAATGGCTCCACGAGGTGTGCGGGTCAAGTTGGTCACATGCCCTCGGGTGAGGAGCACGTGAGAAACATGTTATCCACTGGCCCTAACGGGTTGGGCCAACACTCTGGGCCGTCCTCGATGTAGAGCTGGATTGAGTTGTGCTCGACGCTGGGTCAGCTACAGGCCTAGTCCACAACAAGAGCCCCCCAAGTCGTTGTCCCCAAGCATGGAGTCAATGACTTTGAGTTAGTTTGCATGTCGAGGAGGAGCAAGGGACTCTGTGTGAGGAGAACCTTCCTTTGGGCTTGCTATTACGAGCTTGCGCCCGTGGACGCTGTTCGAGAATTCGCGCCCACGGGGACGATGCTTTGCTTGTAACTCGTTGAATTTCACTTTTGAGGAAGATGTGTCGTGCAAGGACTGTGGTCGAGAGCTTAACTTGTGCCCGTGTTAAAGCATTAGGCTCTGCTCGCAAGTTGTCAAGCTGCTCGTAAATTTGCCTCAAATTTTTCGTCGAGGCCATGCTCGCGAATGAATGCCAAAGTTCGTCGCCTGTGTCCGACAAAGGGTGCTCGACTTATTAAAGTCTGAAAGGTTGATGGGACTTGAAGAGACAAAGACTTCGTCTCCTCGAGCCACGCATCAGAGCCATTAAATGTATAATGAGTAAGGGTACTTAAGAGTTAGACAGAGACACGTTTACCTATGCCACAGAGTTGGCTTATAAATAGGAAGAATAGGAAGGAGTGGAGGGACATTTGCACATTTCACATTCTCCTTCTCTCCACTTTCCTCTGAATTGGTGTGTCACCACCGTTGTTTGTTGCTGCCTCCGTCATCAACCTTCATTTATTTCTTAAATTAAGTAAGTTCCTTCTTCTTCCACTTCGCATGTTAGTTTTATAATGTAGATTAGTTCTAGAATGAAGATTTGTTTTCCCTCCATGCTTTGTTCTAGAGGATTTTGGTGTTTGGTGGTGGTTTGGCCATTTCCAAACACCGGCGGTTAGGGGGGGGGGGGGGGGGGGGTTTATGTTAGAACCGCAGGAAAGTAAGTATTTGTGTGATATTTCTTCTGAAAACCACTCTGGCGCCACCATTAAGGTGGGGAATAGGACTTGTGCTGGTGGAACTTATGAGTTTTCCGATGAAGCTTTGTGTCAAGGAGGTTCTTCCTCGCGAAGCTCATGAATTTTCTGATGAAGCTTCGTGTCGACGAGGCTCTTCCTCGCGAGGCTCGTGAATTTTCTGATGAAGATTCGTTTATTTTCTGATGAGACTTCATGCTAGGGAGGCTTTTCCTCGTGATTTTGTTGATGAGTCGACTGAGACCTTCGTCGAGGAAAACATCCTCGTGATTCCCTTTGCTTGCTGTTGAATAAGAGCTCTGGTCGATGGTAGTGTCCTCATGCCTTTCCTTGCGTTTTCACTTGATTTGTAGTGGAAAGGTGAATTTGTTTTGATCTTCGAATTCAATGTTGTCCTCTGCATTTCAGGTTTCTATGGCTCGTAGCACCGAGGATCTTCACCTGGTCGACACCATCAACGATCCTGACTTGGCTTGGGTCGGGCCGGAACCCAAAGGGATAGCCTCGTGCTTCGCTACCTTCCCCAAGAGCGCATTTACAATTTTAAGGAAGGCGTCAGGTTTTCGGGAGCTCTGGAGAACTGGGAAGTTTATAAGACTGATCAGAAGGAACGAATCTTCTCGCCTTTCTCAGGGAACCATTTTTCCATGTACGAGTACACCTTTAAAGAGTTGGGGATTCGGTTGCCGTTCAGCGGCCTCCAAGTGGAAAATTTTGATCGACTAAAGCTAGCACCCTCTCGACTGCATCTGAACTTGATCGCATTTATTCGGGCCTTCGAGATCGTGTACCACTATCTCGAGATAGGTGCTACCATTCCTCTATTTTTTTGTTGTTTCCACCTTCAACGAAAAACTTCACGTGAGAAGTACAACTGGGTGTCCCACAAGCAACCGAAGAAGCTATTTAAAACGTTCACGAACTTCGTTGTACCTTTAAGGATGGGTATTATACGGTCAAGCCCGTGTCTCGACCAACCATCGACTCTGTGTTCGACCGTGTTGTTGTAACCGAGGAAGACAGAAGTGTGCGTCTCGACGAGGATGGGGACGAGGTTACGAGGCTGGTCTCGAAGTTCATCCTTTAATAGAGTAACACCCACTTTGAAGAGAGCACACATTATTACACCACTAAGCCTAACGAGTTAGACCTCGAGTACCAACGTGGCTTCGACAAACTTGTGAAGTTCATTGACAACTTTGCTCCCACTCAGTGGCAGGCTAAGAATGGGGAGGCTGTCCTCAAAGAGCATGGCCAACCCATTTATGAAGCTCGATACATTAATAATAAGGAGCTACTCAACTGTAATACCGCCGAGGATGCTAGATTGCTTTTAGGTAGCATTTTTTCCTTTCAATTTGTTTGCATGCTTGTTCTTTCTTGGTATATTAACCCGTGCTCGTCATTTGTCGCAAATAGAATGGCCAACCTTCAGGATCATGTGATCAAGATGGCGATGCCCAAAGGGATTACTTCAAAGGGAGTAAAGAGGAGCTCCAAGAATATGATTGTTCAAATCCTAAACCAGTCCAAGGTTGACTTCAACCTCAGTTTATCTTCATCCCAGGGGGGCGATCAATCTTCTTCTCAACAGGACACCCCGACTAAGGGAAGGAAATGTGGGGAGGATGCTGTTAAAATAGATCTAACAAGGGAGATCTGTGAGGATAAGTTCGTGTTGCCCCTTGCTATTCCAAAAGGTTTTTTTTGAGGGGTCCCCTCTCTTGTCGTGCCTCAGGCGGATTCTTTGGCCATTTAGGGCCTTGATGCGACGAGCAGAAGAAAATCATTATGTCAGGATGTGGCCGCTCTGATGAGGGTCCTGGAGGTGGCCCTGGTCCTCAATGACGAGGAGACCTGCTCTACTGACGAGCTGGAGAAGCAGAGGGCAACAAATGCAAAGCTCAAAGCGGAGGCGATCAGGATGGAGACCGCCTTTGATGACTACAAGGAGATGTACAGGATCCAGGGTGAGATTCTGACTGAGCTGCGTTAAAAGAAAGAAGATTTGGCTAAGTTAAATACAAACATAACTTCCTTGAGGCTCGAGCACGCTATTGAGAAGAAGAGCTTCGAGGACAAGATTTTTGCTTTAGAAGCTGCTGTGGCCCTCACCAAAGACGATGATGATGACCTGAAGGCCTTGAATACCCGTGCTGAGCTGGTTTCCCGGATCAGGAGTCTCGACTAGGATTGTGTAGATGCTGTCGAGATGAGCTTCGAG